AACTTTTACATGTGGCAGTCTCAATGCTATGTTTGCCTATTCAAGCCTGATAAATGTTGGTGGTATTTTAGTAGGTTTTAACTAGAAGCAGGGGCTCCTGGAGGGTGCTCAGTCTGAATAGCTGAGTCGCTTGTCCTTCTCACACCTCGCTGGGAGACTTCTCAGTAGAAGACTTCGAGAAAGCTCCCTACTCCTTCTACACCTGTTGTAGGAGGTATGACAGCTATTCCTGAAGCTTATGAACTCCAGTAAGAATGAAATGATCTATTTGAGGTGTTCTGCCAAACTGGCTCTAAAAATAATTATGATTTAAAATGTCCTTTTTTCCCAGTGAAAATAAATGCTTTAAAACTAAGTTTGTAAAAACAAAACAGAACACCTCCTCCATCTCTGTTGGGTTATACACTCAAAAAAAACAACGAGAACCTGAAATTTTGTGGACAGAACATAAAATACCTTTTTCCTACTTCTCTGTCCTTTTCTTCTTCCTTCGGTCCTTTTCTTTTTCCTTATCATCCCTGCTTTTACTTGCCTAATCTGTTTTGTCTGGGGAGGATGTAAAATACAATGTGTGGTGCTATGGGCTTAGTGCAATGCTTGTCACAGCTCAGCTAGCCTAGCCAAAGGTGCTGGTGGAAGCAAAGGTAAGTTTTCTTTCTTTACACATCTTCGGTGTCCTTCAAATCTAACACAGTTTGTCCTTTTGAGCATTTATTAACCATATCATTAGATGTATGCATCTTTCACTGCCTTTCTAAGAGGGTAAATTTCATATATTTTATGCATTATAGAAATTTTGATTCATGTAAAACATAGTTTGAAGGGAGATCAAGTTGCTGTCTCATTTCCCTCCTTGAAAAATAGAAAGATGTTCCGGTAAAGCAAAGCGATTATGAGACAGACGTCACCCCCTCCCTCCCCCACCTCCACCCAAGCAAAAAAGTTTCCAATGGTTCCTCATACACTTTTGGAAACAGAGCTTTGTGGCATATGGAAGGAACTTCTACTCCCTGCGTATGAGCAAAACCATCTGCTTTAGTTGGTTTGGTTAGGTCCTAGAAATACACTGACAAACAAATGTATATCAGGGGTAACTTGTAGGCTTACTGCTTATATTGCTCCTGGGGGGAATAACAAATTCATGTAATATGAACAGTCTAGTTTTTAAGACAACTGAAATAAGTTAAAAATAATTAAAATCCAAAGTTCACCTTGTGAAGGTGTGTGCCTTTAGTAATGTTCAAATATAGATTTTTAACATATGCTCCAATTTCCTGTCTGCCAAAAGGGGAAAAATCTGGTAATATCTGAGTATCATCTTCCTCCAAGCAATCAGCAATGTGTTATCTCCTAATGTTTCAGTTTGATGTCATTATTGGTTCTGGCTTCTTAAAGAAATAAGGCTTCCATAGGATTACTTTAGAATAGGTCAAGAAAAACAATCTAGTTAGCGTATTCCATCCATGATATCTTGTTCTGTGTCTCTCAATCAACAGAGAATTAGGCCATCTTCTGTGAAACAAAGTCTTACCTCAAAGAAATGGTGCTAAATGAGTTTTCCGTGAGGATAGCTTGTATGAGCATTTGGGTGGTATTACCCAAGGGATTCATTAAAGCTCTCTGCTCTACATTAATAAACAATTCAATACTCTATTTTTATGAAGTTCTGCATCCCAGAAATCTTTTGCTTCTTTATTCCAGGCCTGGGTATCATAACTTGGGAAATTCAACAAAGGAGTGTTAGGTAATTTATTAGTATTCTCTACTTAAATCAGTCAGTGACAGTTTAAGCAGCCTCAAGAGAATCAAAGCATTTTTTTTTTGTGATCAATATTTATTACTTAAACTAGGAAAGAGGGAAAAAGACATGTAATACATTCATCTAATAGGTACCCAGTTGCAGATCATAATTTTCCTAGTTATGAAAAATGCAGGAAAGCTGATGGGTTTGAGATTTCTAAGTTCCCACTACTTTCATTTCAAATTTCAATCTTTTCTTCTTTTTGTCTGAACCATCCTTTACTTACGTGAAGAACTCTTTACATTCATTGTTTCACTGATGCTACTTCACTGGGTTTTTTTGCTTAAATGGCTAGAAAATGTCATCCCTAGACTAGATCATCCCGGTTTGAACACAGAACAGTTTGTATGTTTTCACCTTCAGCTTGTGTCTGCCTCTTGCTTTACTTATCAATACACTTTTATGCCTGGGCTACTGATGAGGTTTGCTCTTTGCCTAGATTTCCTGCTGAGTTTAAACATCACTTTTCCTCTAGTAGAATGTGTTGATCTTTTGACTTGATTAAGGATAAATGCCATTGACTCTCTGCTTCTAGAGGCCAAGAGTTTTACAAAATCCCACTGGGACTGACTTATTTATTATTTGAAAATGAATATCAAATATTATTCCATGTCATTTTAGTGAGAGAGGCGTGAATTTTTTTTTCTACTCTGAGAATAATAAGTATCGTTAGTGTTGGAGGTACCAAATGTAACTAAATAGTAGGGCATAAGAAGTTTCAGGTTTTTTAAAATACATTTTTATTCATGGACCATCACACTCCAGAGTTTCACAGTTAAGTATTTCTGTTTGAATCTGACCAAATGTGACTATCTCAAGGATATCATAAGGTGTGACACACCTCCAAACGTTAGCATCACTGGACTGAGAGAAAGCTCATTTTACATCTCTATAAGCACTGTGACACGGATGAAGCAGTGTTCCCAAACTACTATGTTTGTGTTAGTCATTTTCCCCTTATCTCATCCCCAATCATAAAAATTAAGTGGTGCACAAAAATTGCCTACAGAACAGATGCCACCTTACAGAAGATGTTTTAAATAGCCCGTACTTATAGCAGTTCTGCCTTCATAGCTAATATTCTCCACATCTTTCTTTACTTCTTTCTTTCTTATTGAAGCATTTGCATGTAGAATAAAGAGGATAAAAACATAAAAAAACAGATTTGTTTTTTCTGAGAACATCTGTTCGTGCTGTAAAGTATCCACATGACGTGGTCACACTTTCTTTCAGTGCCCTCACTGAACAGGTAACTGTTGTGTCAATCTTAGGCCTGAACTCAATAAGATAATGAAGAGTGGCATCTAATGAGTTGAAAATGTAGGGAAGTTCTATTATAATACATACATTTTATGTAATATTGAGACAAACATACAAAGTAAGAGAAGCTGAGATTGAAAATAAGATGGTTAATTGTATAATTTTTTTATTCCTAAGGTTCATTGTTCTCATAGCATCACTACCTAATTTTCAGTGCATTTGGGCCTTTAGGTTTCCTTACTAAATGTTCAAGATTCTTGTCAATTTGGGTTGCACTTGGGCATTGGGTACATTCTTAAAATTATTAAATATAAGTTATTTGCTGTGCACATTGTAAATTAAAGAAACATTTTCCCTTTGAAAGTCTGTTTATTATTCAAGAGGAGAATTCCTCTAAACTCAAACTACTGCCATAACTCATACAACCAGCAGGAAGTAGAAATACTAATTACTCAAAATTAAAAGGTGTAGTTTGAAATTACCTGGAGACTTACATTCCCCCATCTAAAATATCTTCAGTCTTAGATGTAGAGGGGAGGAGAGTGGCTAGTGAAAGTTCTGTGATAAAGCTTTCAAAATTATTTAGATAAAAATATATTGACCCTAATTGATGGTTACCATAGAAACAAACCTATGTAGACATTGATTATTCAAGGACTCATTAAAGCGCCTATGCACTTGGCCCCGTGCTCAGCATATGTTGGAGCCAAGTATATGGTTTTCCAAACTATTTCACATGCATAATATCCATAGGGATATATTAGCCACTTGTATGTTGTATCATTTTTTTTCCTAGTCTTTTTCAGAAATGAAGCTTTTCACATATAGATTGACTAATCCAAAAATATTTAATCAGCATCTTTCTTCATGAGCTCAGCTATCCTCCTGGAAAGAGCAAACTTGGCCCATCTTCTTCTATGCAATCTTCTTTGTCTTTTAAATTTGCATTTCAGATCAATAATGATATATGTCCTAAGATAATGTGACATTTTCTCCCTTTGTTTACTGTGTTGTTTTAATGCGTCCGTGTATCTCTATCTTGTCATCGTTTGCCCCTAGTACAATTCCTGTTACCCCTGATTCTTTATAGAGTTCACTTTAGCTTGAGAATCTGGTGGATGGATCTCTTGAGACAACTTGGTTTAGTCGTCTAGTTAGTGGCACTTTCTATTAGTCATGTTTTTGTCCTAAAAAGTTTTAAGTTTGGAACTTTCCATCATTTCCATTTTTGGGTCTTTGGATCCTTTTGGAGGATGATGAACAATGGGAAATTGATGAACGATGGGAAAATGATGAACAATGGGCAAAGTCTGGGAGCCCTCACATTCCCTTCAGGAGCATTATTTATGATGGGGTTTAAAACATGACATTATTATTGTTGTAATGCTTACTACTGTGATTTCTATGGTTGTGACTTCTCGTAGGACCCTGTGTTAATGGAAATGTCAAGTTAAGATAGGATGTGTTGCACAGTTCTTTTCTCATCCTATTGGTGGATACTCGCTAAAAGCCAGACTGGTGTATAATGCCTAAATGGCCAAATTATTCTAAAGAAAAAAAAATCATGGTAAATTTCCTATGTCTTCAAGAAAGTCATCTGAATTCGAAGACTTTGAGAGATGAATGACCGCTAACTGCAGCTTCCTGTAAATGATTGCTTACTGCCATTGGCATTTGAAATCTTTATATGTAAGATAAAGGAAGGCATTTCTTTCTTTCATTACTGTGTCATTATCCTTTATGTTTGAATTGAGACTTTTGCATTTGGGGACTCCTATAGAGAATCCTGTTGGCTCAGTAAAATTAGACTAGACTTTGGGTAGAAGATAATTCCTTGAATGCTGCTGGGTCATGTGCACCAGTGTGGTTTTGACAGCCCTGATGGATGAGCACTACTTTGAGAATTGATTCTAACTTTGGCACTTACTACCACCCTTAGGCAAAGGACCAGAGACCCTCTATGCAGGGCAGAAGCTCAATGACAACGAGTGGCACACCGTTCGGGTGGTGCGGAGAGGAAAAAGCCTTAAGTTAACCGTGGATGACGATGTGGCTGAGGGTGAGTATAACTCTAGTGAAATTCGCCTCTCTTTTCTCTCATAGTCCTCTGTCACTCACTGAGCAAACTATGTTTTGCAGAACTGTTTATTTTGCATAGTATAAGTCACAAATCATGTTTTCTGTTGACAAACTCAAGCAAGGCTAAGGTCTTCCTCTGTATTTTACAATCCCTTTTCATCAATGTGTCTTATGGAAATTACCTACTAACTATAGCTACATATTTATGGGTCTCTCTTCTTGGGCGTAGAGTATGTGTCTGGAGAAGAGATGTAGGGCTCTACAGATCCTTTTATTATTCAATCATTCAAAAATCAGTTGTCAATCATCCTCCCATATGCCAGTTCCTTCCATCAGTGAGTGAATCACTCTCTAGTAAAAGAGATGGACAAACCAGAAATTTGGAACATTACAGGTAAAAGTAAGTGCTAAAACAGAGCACGATACTTAGAAGGCACTGAATAAGGTTTGGTTTAATTAATTACTTATTTAATCATGATTAATTGAGTATTCTGTACCACCCACTATTTTAGAAGGCACTGAGACTACAATGGTGAACAAACAAGCACATTTTTGGCCTGGTGGGATTTACATTTAGGAGGGTGAAGAATAAATTAATGAATCCATTCATTTGGAAAGAAATATTCAGGGCTCCACACAATCAATAAGTATTTCCTAAGAGTCTGTTCTGTGTCAGCGGCATGCCAGAATTGTGGAAGATAAAACAGAAACGGATGAGATTGCCTGTTTCCTCAAATAATGAACCAATCAAACAGATTAGATAGGACTCTGGTATTTGGAAATAGGATAAAAATATAGAATGAGATTCTAATTTTGATGGGTGAGATTACACTTTGTTGATCAGAAGAGAGAATTATCCATTTGGGCTGGAGAAATCAGGAGTGGTTTGTAAAGGTACATCTTCAGCCTGAATTTGATGGTGGATGTAATTGATGAAGGCTGAGGTACAAGAGAGAGGGTGTCATCAAGTATCATTTTATATGCTGTCGCTTATAAGTCTGCCCTTTCTGATGTTCTAGAGCAGAATACATCTATGAAGCAGAATTCTTCTCCATATGGGAAAAGAAGACTTGAGGCAGCGGGGGGTATTACATGTAACACTGTTGGCATCAGATCTGGGCCCTGATGTTAACTTGTAGGATGTTAGGAAAGTTAACATTCCTGGGGCTTGTCAAATGCAGTCCGTGGTCTAAGTTATCTCTGCCATTTCTTCTGTGAATAAGACAGTCAGGAGCCCTGGGGTCTAACACAACCACTGCCCCTAAAATGCTTTATGCCTTTGGGATGGATATACTAAACCTCTTTTTCTTAATTTCTTCATTTTAATAATTGAGATTCTATTATTTCTATGGCCTTTTCCAGCATGAATGTTGTGGAATTTGGGGTCTTATAATTTAATTTTATATTTGTGAGCCTGAATTTGTATACTTATGGAATCAGGAAATACAGTAAGATATATATGTGCATATGCAGGGGTGTGTGTGTGTGTGTGTGTGTGTGTGTGTGTGTGTAGGGAAGGACAGCCTGTGGATTAAAGAAGAGCATCTAGGCACATATTTAGTGCCCAGTAGGCATTAGAAACTGTTAGTTGTGTTAAGCATATCAGCTCCTTTAATCTTCTATCATTCACTATACCCTTTAAAAGTAAGTGTTCTTAATGTCATTTTACAGAAAGAGAGCGTGAAACTCTGAGGTAGTTGTGTAAGCTACAGACCCATGCCAGTGTAATTCCACAAGATCATTCTGCTTGGTGTACTTCAAAATCCATCACAAGAAAATAATTTATCTTACAGTATGGAAAAAATCTAATGGACTGGATTGGAGTGAAGTAGGGAATGCATTAGCTTATTAACGTCCCTAAGAAACTTACAGGAGGTAGACGATAACACCCAACCTCTCCCTCACAAAAACAAAGACAAGCAGAACCACCACAACACTTATCCAAAACACTTGGATTACACACAGACATAACTTAGACGCGGTGGCTCACGCCTGTAATCCAAGCACTTTGGAGGCCAAGGCGGGTGGATCACCTGAGGTCGGGAGTTCAAGACCAGCCTGACCAATATGGCGAAACCCCGTCTTTAAAAAAAAAAAAAAAAAAAAAAGAAAAAAGAAATTAAAAAAAAAAAAAGAAAAGAAATGGGAAGTGAAGTTACTGGTCTACATGCCCGAAGAGTAAATTCGCGTTCTGAAATGAACATTTTTTTTTTTTTGAAATGAACATTTTAAAAGAGATGTACAAATGCTTGCACTATGTAGAGCCCACAGCCAATGCGAATTCACTATTCAAGAACTGTATGAACTGTTGGTGCATCCGGAGGCTGCAAAGGCCCTGGTGATAAGTCACGCATCTCTTGCTTACTCCTCCGAGCTTGTCTCTGAAGGGTGGTGGGATCCACAGCATCTTCTGAAAAGCAGCCACTAGATGGCGACATCACCCCGACTCTCCTCAGTGAGTTCCTTTCATTTTCCCTGGAAAATAAATACTCCAAAAGTTTAGTCATAAAGAATTACAGGGTTGAGGGTACTATAATGTGTATTCCCTCTCTCAGTCATTATTCCTCTATGAAAATTTTGGAATAAAGGTATTTGTAAATTGCACTTTCTTTTACCGCTGATAATTAAAAAGCAAGACTAAGTCACGAAATGCCTGTACCCAGTAATTTGAGTTTTTGAAATTACTGAAGCTCTTTCATTTTCAGACGTGCCCCCAACTCCCCCGAACTTCACTACTGATGGAAGAAAGCAGCCAGAAGTATAAAGAAATTTGGGAGAGGATAAGAGCTGTTTTGCTTATGAGCTACAGTCCTGGATTGCTTTTTACAGTGATAAGGGGTTGGGAAATTTTAATTGTAGTTCATAGAAATCATAAAATTAGGCAATGAAACTAAAATACCCACAGTCCTCAAGTTATTAAGTAGTGTCTCTTATTTAGTAATCCCTTTGATGTTCTTAAAAGTCCCCCAGTGTGTCCAATTTTCAGCTAGTTTATAGAAATGATGCAGAGAATAGGTCCGACTCACAAGAAATCAAAAGCAACGTTAGAAATATTCCACAATGTTGTTTATCATTTATTGTAATGTGACTGTATTATTTATTTGAAAAACATTAATTTCGGTTGACAATCAATAAGAATTGATTGAGCTATGTTTCTATTATTAAAAATATATTACTATACCAAGTATAACTTGAGTTATACTCTTCAGAACTGGGGCCTAATGCTACATGAACTGCTTCCTCTACCTAGAACTTCTTGCTAGTACATAAATTCAACCTTGCTAGTACAAAAATGTGACTATCCTGGTTCATGCTGACTTTTCTTGTCCTTATCTACATAGTATATATAGCACCAAGCTATAAAAAGTCATTTTGCAAAATTAAAATTTATTTCTCATAGTAATTTAAAAAACTTGATAAAATAGGATTGGGGAATGTTAGGTCAAACAAAATGAAATGGAGTTCTCTATTGCAAGGCTTATTAGGAGACTTTAATAAGCTAATGTACATTGTAAATCATCGATAAGTATTTGCTATTTTGTTTTCGTTCTAGAAACGTTTTAATAAAGCATTTTATACCACACACACACTTTTAAAAAAATGCTGATATTATGGAGAAATGGATGTGGGACCGGTAGAGCTAGGGAATTATGGGTAAAACATGAAGATTCTTTACTGGTCCTCTATAAGTCTTCATTTTCTTAGCTTCTCTCCCCAAGTCTAAGAGTCATGAAAGGTCCGTTTACTTCCTTTCAGCTTTTCCCATTATTATTCTTTTTGCTGAGCTCTTAGTTTTGGCCAGGAACCTTATATGTAGAAATGATGAGGACCCAAGCCTTGACCCCAAAGCAAATGTCTCAAATACAAGGCCCTCCCCCCAAAATGAGGAATGTTGGCTATGCTCAGACTCCTCTGGTAGCCACTGTGGGACATATAGAAGACACAAGAGGTGACCTCTACTTAAAACAGAGCTCACATTCTCGCGGATCACAAGGTCAGGAGATCGAGACCATCCTGGCTAACACGGTGAAACCCCGTCTCTACTAAAAGAAATACAAAAATTAGCCGGGTGTGGTGGTGCGTGCCTGTAGTCTCAGCTACTTGGGAGTCTGAGGCAAGAGAATCACTTGAACCTGGGAGGAGGAGGTTGCAGTGAGCTGAGATCACACTACTGCACTCCAGCCTGAGTGACAAAGCGAGACTCTGTCTCAGGAAAAAAAAAAAAAGCCCACATTCTCACACACAAAGAAGAGAAAAACCATAAGTGAAATGTGCACAACATGATTCAGTCATTTCAGAGGAAAGGAGGGGAATGAATGCATCGTAATTAGTAATGGCGCACAGCTGAAGCCATGGGGACTCTATTAAGTACTTTACATGTGTTGTTACAGTTAACCCTGCTAACATCATACCTGTTTTACAGATGGGAATCTGAGGCATAGAAAAATCCAATAACTCCTTCAAGGTAACCCAGTGAAGAAATCTTGGAGGCAGAATGCAAAGTCAGGCAGTACAGCCCTGGACTCTCCCTGCTCATCCACTAGATACTATTGCTGCATAGGAATAGGAAGTTACAGCTTGAACCTGGCCAGAATTTTCCATGAGTACATGTCCTTCATCACTCTGAGAGCTGGTGTGTAGACTGCTTGTTGGCCATCAGTGAAATATAGAAGTGAATGTGTGAGGAGGAGGCAAGGCAACAGAGCTGCTTTAGGGAAAGTGCTGAATGTATTACCCACGAATTAGATGGAATGACATTCTGATACTGGGCCATAGGGAAGAAGTGCAAACTCCTTTCAACAGCTTCTGCATGGAAATTTTACCGGTTAAATTCTACCTACTGCTTTTCTTGGGCAATGATGTGAGGAATAAGTCAAACCTTTTTTCCAAAGACAGTTTATTGTACTAGTAAAGATATGGGCCTTGGAATTAGCACACCTGAGTTCAATGTAGGGGCCTACCATTTATCACCTGTATGAATCTTGATCAAACTGCTTAACCTCTGCAAGCTAAATGTCCTAAAGCAAGAGAAAGATACCGAGCTACAATTTTATTGTGATAACGACATTTCATAATGATTATGCAGTATTTAAGACAGTGCCTGCCTTATATGGAATTTTCAGTAGTCTTGGTTTTGCCTTGTTATCTTTCTCCCCAGTTGCTTCTCTTTCCTCTGAAGTTTGAAAGAAACTTCTGTGAGGTATGAATATATTTGCCTCTTACATGGAAAAGAGGTTCCGTTTGCAGACAGCGCTCAGAGGAGATGAGTGAAATGTTTCCGTCCCTACTATTGAACAAATGACACACAGATCAAAAACAATTATTTGGTTAGTTTGGCACAAGTTTCAAACTTTCACCAATCTTTCATGCTTTCCCCAGGTGCAATAATATTCTTTTTTTTTTTTTTTTTTTTTTAGGTCTCCATCCACAAAGGAGTAAGTTTTTTAGCTCACAGGGAAGCCAGTTCCTTTTCTTTTCTTTTTTGTTTGTTGAGATGGAGTCTCACTCTGCTGCCCAGGCTGGAGTGCAGTGGCGTGATCTCCGCTCACTGCAACCTCCGTCTCCCGAGTTCAAGCATTTCTCCTGCCTCAGCCTCCTGGGTAGCTGGGACTACAGGCACGTGCCACCATGCCTGGCTAATATTTTGTATTTTTAGTAGAGATGGGGTTTCACCATGTTAGTATGATCTTGATCCCCTGACCTCGTGATCCCCCTGCCTCAGCTCCCCAAGCCAATTCCTTTTCTGATTGGATCCCACATGGCCTTCTTCCCTTCCCATCACCAACTTTTAGTTGAGGCTTCTATGTGAGTCAACTTGAATTCTCAGTTTGTGTTCCTGGGCTAAGCTCTTAAATTCCATCATTAACTTCGCTTCTTGTACTTATCCATATCCATGCTCAGTCTCTCTGCTATCTCAATCAATACTTTATTTTTTTTGCTGTAGAAAATTGAGTTTCTAATGAGCAGAATTTCCTAACCCCTCAATCCTGGAGGTCACTTCATCCAGAACTTCTCTGAAAGCTCCCACTTGACTTTAAAATTGTCTCTTCAGATTTCTTTTGGAACCCCAATCTTCACCAGAGATTCCCCATTCTCACCTCTTAGCTCTCATCTTAGATTGTTTTCTTTGTAAAATAAGAATTAGCATGACTAGCAGCAGCCTCACAGTTCAGTTTCTCTGTTTCCATGGAGATTGACTATGACTCCCCCTCCCCATCATTTTCCAGCCCAGCTCCCCTTCCTGGTAGGAGTATCTTTATCAAATTTGACATTGGATGCTTCTTTTGGTCACTTCATTATTTTAGAGCATGCAAATTTGGGGGGCTGAATTTTTATGTTGCTTTTTATTTTGACAACCAGTATGATTTTTAACACGAAGTAATTTTTTTTCCTAGTTATTTGTTAGCAGATTTATGTTGCATTTTGATTTTTATATTTAAGTTAACCAACATATTTTTTCTTATATTAAGAGAGTGATTTGTCACTAGTTGTCAAAACATCACACAGAAGCTCATAACATGTAAGTCTGATTTTTGTGCTTATAGGCAATATGAGAAATTTTTATAAATTTAGAGACAGCATCTCACTCTGTTACCTAGGATGGAGTACAGCCTTAAACTCCTGGGCTCCAGTGTTCTGCCCACCTTAGCCTCCTGAGTAGCTAGGTAGCTAGCACTATAGGTATACATCTTCATGTTTGGCTAATATTTTAAAAATTTTTGTAGAGCCTGGGTCTTGCTATGTTACCCTGGCTGGTCTTAAACACATAGCCTCAAACAATCTTTCTGTCTCGACCCAAAAATGCTGGGATTACAGGCATGAGGCACTGTCCCCAGCCCATTCTTTCAATTAGGTCTGAGTTTGTTCCCAAAGAGATAAAATCAATATTGAGCACTTAAGGGTACGATCTGGTTTAGTCTCCTAGATATTGAAGTTTAAGAGACCGAAGAAAATGCAATCCTCCCTTTTTTTGTCACTGGGATTCTGAGCCAATAGAGAAAACATTGCAATGCAGATGGAAGGCAAATATCTTTTTTATTAGCAATAAAACATATTTAATATTGCTTTTACCTACTGAACTTCAGAATTAGAATTGTCCACTTGAATAGTAGTTCAGAACTGGGGCAGGCATCCTTCGTGGAAGTAAGGCTTGCTCCTGTAACACCCATTCTGTGAATACATGCAGTAGATGGACATTTCTGAAGGTGGCTTGATCCAGCAAAGAGGAACAGGTGTCAGGGGCTGAGCTAAGCACACACAGCCTCTCTTTGTAGATTATCTTAATATTGCTGATTATGTCACTTCTTCAGGAAAGTTGCTAAAGAGGAAATAAAGAGATGCTATCAGTGTCTCGCTAGTAGAGTGTCTTCCATGTAGAAGGAAACAATGAGAAAGGAAAGGAAGAATTCCCCCTCCCTTCCTTCTAACGCTTGGCAGTAGAACATGGTTTGTTCTGTTTAACATGATTTTTTTTATATCAGTGTTGAGGAAGCCAATTTCTACTCTGGCTACATTAATGATGTTTTTCTTTATTTTGCTGTGAAAATTTCCAGTCTGTTTTAATTATTTCAAGCCCTCCTTATCCCCTCTGCCCTGGTCACTCACCACTTCTAGGGAAAATCGGTAATGAAATTTGTAAATAGTTTGTTTGTATCAGCTAAAGATATTTCCATTGTAAATGTCAGAAATCCAACTCAGCTGCTTAAAGCATGAAAGGGAGTCTATTGCCACACAGTTTGAAAAAGCCCAGAGGCGCCTGGCTGGATACAGAGCCTCAAAAGACAGAACAAATGTTATTTGTGCTGAATCTCTTCATGTTGTAATTGTCTCTGGGTTGCCAGTCCTCTGATCCCTCTGATTACCTTACAGCCTCCAGGAACTCCAAGCTTTCTTCTTACCCCTCCAGCAGTCCTTGCTTGCAAAGAATGCCTCTTTCCTAAGTGTACCAGCAAGGGCCCTGGAGCTGAGTGTGGCTGGGCTGGCTTGGGCTGTTGCAAGTTCTAAAAGTGGTCCCTAAATCAGCCACAAGAGAATCACTTTGGAACTTGTTAGAAATGCATATTCTCAGGCCTCATCCCAGACTTTTGAATTCCAAACTGTGAGGGCCTAACCCTTCCAGGTGGTTCTGATAAACACTGACATTTAATAACCACTTTTTTAGTTTGTAGTCCAAAGTCTGTGACAGTTAGGGGGATAAAATACATTGAGTGGTCCAGACTAAGCAGCTTGATTAGAGCCAACTTTATCCAGTCCAGGTGGTTGCAAGGTCAAGAGAGGTGGGTAGCTTCCTAAAAAAAAAATTACATGTTATTATAAAATAAAGTAACAGTCCCTAGACAGGTAAAGTCAACTGATCCTCTGTAATAGAGCCCTTCCCACAAGTACTAGGTGGTGAATTATTGTGAGAAGAAATATTTGGTAGTGAACGCCCAGGATATGTTTGTTGTGTCTTTACAAGGGCAAGAGCAACAAAGATGTTTCTTCTTATACTGTGTATTACTGTCCAGTTATTCTCCTGAGTGGAGAATACCAATGGCTTTATCTTTTAGCCTGAGTTACTCATGACCTCACATTTCCTCTTATATGATGAGCCATGCTGAGCAGCTGCATGAGAGCATGGGATTCAGGACATATAATTTGGGCAAGGCTAGTCCTCAGTGCCCTGGCTGAGGTCAAGTAAGGTGTCTACCATATTAAATATTTGGTTGTCTGGAACTCACGCAGGAAAACTGAATATTCTGTGTGGAAACAAGTTACACCCCAAAAATATACTTAGGGGTGCTGTGATATATAATGGTAACCTTTCCTGTTTGTACCTCATTTGCAATGTTCACAGGTACAATGGTGGGAGACCATACCCGTCTGGAGTTCCACAACATTGAAACGGGAATCATGACTGAAAAACGTTACATCTCCGTCGTCCCCTCCAGCTTCATTGGCCATCTGCAGAGCCTCATGTTTAACGGCCTTCTCTACATTGACTTGTGCAAAAATGGTGACATTGATTATTGTGAGCTGAAGGCTCGTTTTGGACTGAGGAACATCATCGCTGACCCTGTCACCTTCAAGACCAAGAGCAGCTACCTGAGCCTTGCCACCCTCCAGGCTTACACCTCCATGCATCTCTTCTTCCAGTTCAAGACCACCTCACCAGATGGCTTCATTCTCTTCAATAGCGGTGATGGCAATGACTTCATCGCCGTCGAGCTCGTCAAGGGGTAAGTAGAAGGGATCACGACTTACGTTGGATGTCTTCAGTGTGCTGAAGCCCTACATAAAATATGGACATAAAAATACATGGTCTATTCTACTCCCTACCCTCCATCCCTGACACATTCTAGTGTCCTCCTTGATTAAATAGATCCATAAAATTATGAAAAGGAGAGAGGCTCATGATGTAATTTAAAGGTCTTCCATTAACTCAACAATAGCAGGCTTTTTACTATGAAATGTAGCCCTTTAAAACTGTAGAAGAAAAGCTTATTTTTGCAAAAGAAAGTGGTTTGTGTTGCATCTAATTCTTGAGTATTACTAACTACAACCACCCAATTTATACCAAAAAACAAAACATAGATATTTTTAATCCTACTGTTAGCCCACATATGCAAGTTTTTAGGAGCTACCCTTTCTTCAAGACATTTTACTATCATGTATTGGAAAATAGTCAAAACGGAAAACTAAAACCCAAACAGATTCATGGCTGACTCTGAATTTAAAAGTTACCCCTAGAGTTTTACAGTGTACAACCTGTGCTACTTTGATTCTGGAGAGTATCGCTAGGTAGTGTTATGGACTTGATGAGTATGGAATTAAAGTGAAGCCTGATGGAATAAAATCTGACTATTCTTGTAACCTTATATCCAGATTTAAATTATTTCTGCATTATGCCAGTCTAGCATGAGGGATTTGAAGCTCCCTATGTCAATTACAGACACACAGCCATTAAACCACTTCAGGGAATTTCCAACTATTGAGTGTTTTTTTTTTCTTTTTTCTTTTTTCTCCTAGGTACATACACTATGTTTTTGACCTCGGAAATGGTCCCAATGTGATCAAAGGCAACAGTGATCGTCCCCTGAACGACAACCAGTGGCACAACGTTGTCATCACTAGGGACAATAGTAACACTCACAGCCTGAAAGTGGACACCAGAGTGGTCACTCAGGTTATCAATGGTGCCAAAAACCTGGATTTGAAAGGTAAACCTTGCAAAGAAGTTAATTTTTTAATAGAGCTTTTCTTACAATAGATAGACTGTTTCCAGAGGCAAACCACAGGTTCGGAGTGCCATGCTTTTTTGATACATCATGTTTTAACAACGTTGAGTTATCCTGTAATGTAATTTGTTCTGTTTTTACTTAGACAACCCATCAAAGAGTGGTTCATTTTCTCTGATAACTTCGGGAATGTCGTGATGTGGGGGCTGAGTGATGACATGATAAATGTCAAAATGTGGGAGGGGCCGTGATACAGAGGAAGGAATGTAGGCCTTGGAATTTCAAGTGAATCATTTAATGTCTGGTGTCATTGGTAAAATGTCTTAGCCTTGTTCAGCTTACATTTACTTTTCTTTGCAAACGGAGGGTAATAATTGTTAGTTTCTGTATGGGTTGTTAGAAGCTTTGATGGAATGTCTGTAAAACCCTCAGCATATTATTGGTAACAAGCACATAAAAAGCACTCAGTAAATGCTTGCTTTGTTGACAATATTGTTAATCTTTACTCCATCTATAATGATTAAATTTTGATGGTGATGTATATAAAATGAATGGCACATAAGAAATGTTGGTCTCATTTTTTTGCAGTGTAGAAACTCTGGTACTTATCTATGTTGTCCCCCCCACCAACCTCAGCTATTTTATCCCTTATCTGATGAATTATCTGTAAGGGTATCAGCTCTAGTTGACATGGTCACCACATCCTTTACTTATTCTCCTTGGCTTCTTACTTTCCTTTCCAGGTGATCTCTACATGGCTGGTCTGGCCCAAGGCATGTACAGCAATCTCCCAAAGCTCGTGGCCTCTCGAGATGGCTTTCAGGGCTGTCTGGCATCAGTGGACTTGAATGGACGCCTGCCAGACCTCATCAATGACGCTCTTCATCGGAGTGGGCAGATAGAGCGTGGCTGTGAAGGTACAACCTATTTTTCCTCTCAATAAGCTATAGCCTTGTTGCAAGAACCAAGCCTCTTTGCTGCCTCTGCCAGTGCCTCCTTCCTCAGTTGACCAGTCCTGTCTCATTCTCATTTTCCACATGACATTGCATCACTATTGGTGTCCTCTTGTCACTGGTTTAGTATGTCAAGACGTGTGCCACAGGCTCCAGGAATGCATGTTGGCAGATGTTTTCTGAGTATCACATACTTGCCAATTGAAAAAAAAAAAAAAGAAAAAAACAACTTCCCTGGCATTGACATCAGGCTTCTTCCAATGTGTACCTTGGCTTCCAGAATGGCAGAAAGAGCACTAGAGACTTTTATTTACACTTTAATACATGATGAGGGGAAAACCAGAGATTTTATGTAGATATCACTGTTAACAAAATGTTTCTTATTTTGGCTGATAGTGACTGCATTATTTGATGAAAATCTACCAGGTGATAGGAAAACGATGTCCAAATGCCATGATGACGGAAGGGAGGTAGCATTTATTAAGTACTTACTAGATAACAGGCATTGTTAGGCAGTTCTTTAGTGTGGTATAATGGAACATTGTGGGTATAATGGAACATTGTGGATTTCTGAATCCAGAAAGATCTGGATTCAGCTCCAGGTAGTAGCTCTTGTTAGCTATGTGACATTTGGAAAGTGATATTACCTCTCTAAGCTATATATTCCTTACCTGTATAACAGGGCAATAAAACTTACCTTGGATGTAAGGAAATCAGAAATGCCGTAAAATGCTTGATAAGCAGTAAGTACTCAATAAATGGTAGGATGATTGTTTACAAATATTATTTTATGTCAGACATCTAATAATACTGCATGCCTACCCATGCAGCACAACAAACCATGCTCAGCCTGTTCCTGTAGATGATCCACTGTCTCTTGAGATATTAAATGAAGTTTACAGGTCTTCCTCAATCTAACAATTCTTTGCAATGTAAATAATCTAGTTTTAACCAGCAGATGGCAGCAGCGAACACATTCAGCCTTCCCTAGTAGCCTTGGGTTGGCTGAAAAGGTGACTCTTACATAACTTGAAAAGCAAATTCGCCTGACCAAGGATCTATGTAATTATTTTCTTTTTTCTTTCTTTTGTTTTTTTTTTGTTGTTGTTGTTGAGCCTTTTGGTTGAGCCTTATGGTTCTTTGTTTGTGCAATATACTGTGTTTTCTTGTATTAGTTGTTAATTTACCACATCAAATCTATTCATTCATCTTCTGTGTTCAACTTCATGTATTGCTTCTGCTCTTAAACTGCTTCCATTTGGGTTCACTCACCATTGTAAAGCACACTATTATAAAATCTTCCCATCAGCTTATCAGGCTGAGTGGGAGTTATGGAAATTGTCCCCCTTTGCCTAAGAGTTAGTTTTATATTTTGCACTAGTAATAGGAATGTTCATTCCTATAACCCACTCCTTTTTTCCTTTATCCAGAAATATTTCTTAAATTTTCTTGGCCACATATGGTATGTGTAGTATGTGCGGTGTGTGTGTGTGTGTGTGTGTGTGTGTGTGTGTGTGTGTGTATGTGTGTTTATGTATGAAGGAACAGGAGGTTGGGAATCACTAAGCCCCTAAAATAGCCACTTTGCTCCTAGAAATGAACAATTTCATTTAATCAGGGATTTTTGCCTCCTTGGCTTGCTTTTAGTTCTTTCATGTATTAAAAGGCAACCCTGGGATAGGTGTAGCATTTGGAATTAAATTGAATACATTAGGTTAGAAGATTGTGGAATGGTAGTAATTCCAGTTATCTTGGAATAATTAATAACATGAAGTTAAATCACAATATAAGAACACATATGAAAAAGCATAAGATACTGGTCAAATGTTACATAATTTTTAATCATGCTATCAGTTCCTCATATTTAAAAGTTAACACATATCATCCATTTAACTCTATAGTAATGTCACCCAATAGATACATGTTGTAACACATGTAATTATAAATTTTCTAGTAGCTACCTTTTAAAAAGGTATAAAGTAACAGGCCAAACTTCTTTTAATTTTGTATTTTATTCAACTTAACTACATAGATCTAAAATATCATTTCAGAATGTAATCGAGATAAAATTATCAATATTTTACACTTTTCTCACATTAAGACTCTAAACTTGAGTGTATCTTTTATATTGCAGCACACCTCAACTGAGGCTACATGCATTTAAAGTACTTAGTACACACGTCAATGGCTACTGTATTGGTAGCGAAGATATATAGAAAAGAAAAATAAGATGTAAAGACATAAAGCTATAATATTGGATTAAAAGGAGGTCTAAACTAACCTTTATAAAAGTGTACTAGAATGTATAATACAGATGGGGAATGACTTCATTTAAGAGAGTTTTAAGAGAAGCAGTGAGAGCATCAGCAAAAAGAAATTACATAACGCATTGGGGAAGATGTCCCTCTCCCTACCTACAGCTCTGTGTGCAGTTTGGCATTACTTATCACATGCATTACAGAGGGTTCTGACCTTCCTCTGAGTGTGGTTGATTGTTCAAAGCCGGATATTGTGGCTTGATGGCTCTACCATCTGAATCTGTGGTGAGTCCCATGGGCCTAATAGCTCTGCACTCTATTGCCATGGAGATAATTACAATGGTTACCCGCTGAGCATTATGTCAAACCCCCACCCCACCCCCGCTGGGTGGGGTAAAGTAGAGGGTGAGTGCTGAGGGAAGAAAGTCCTTGTTGATTATACACAAATGACTTGGATAATTAGCCTAAGTGGCCAGGAAAAATGGCCAAAAGTGGGTTCCGGCTTAAATTACTGTCATTGGAAGTTTGTACCATTGTGAATAAGCCCTTGCAGGAGATCCCAGGAGCATTTTAGGGTTATGTGTAAGATGGTGGGGAGGTAAAGGGAGAGCACAAAACCTTGGAGAGACTGCAAAAAGGCATCACTTTTATGCTGAATCTCTTGTCTAGAGCCTAAGAGCCTCAAGAAGGCCTTTGAGCATTAGGTAGATATGAGGACCACAGAAAACAGAACACATTTCTTAATGTATCATTTCTTTTGTATAGAATAGTATAAAAGTAGGGGATGAGGTTTTATAACTAAAAACTAAGGCCAGAATTCTTCAAGATATGTTTTATTCTAGCAAATCTAGAATATACTGATACACACACACACACACACAGACACACACAGAGAGATATTTATGTCTACCTACACTTAATATGTGTTTCTGTCAAAGTCATTGACAATGACACTTTAAGATTCCCAGGTAGTAAATGTATTACCTTCCCTTTTATTTCAGACCCATGACAGCAGATAAAATAAAAGGCAGAAGAGTCTAAAACTTATTTAATTTTATTTATTTACTTACTTTTTGAGATGGAGTTTTGCTCTTGTTGCTCAGGCTGGAGTGCAGTGGTGTGATCTCGGCTCATGCAACCTCTATCTCCCAGCTTCAAGCGATTCTCCTGCCTCAGCCTCCTGAGTAGCTGAGATTACAGGTGCCCACCACCATACCTGGCTAATTTTTGTGTTTTTAGTAGAGATGGGGTTTCACCATGTTGGCCAGGCTGGTCTTGAACTCTTGACCTCAGGTGATCTAGCCCGCCTTGGCCTCCCAAAGTGCTGGCAAAATTATTTAAAAGCATACTAATTTACTACTCTTTGGTTCTCAAGTATTACTAGCAAAAAAGAAAAAAATCTTAAAACTAGTTTTGTATTTTATCTGTCTGATAGATGCAAAGTATATAATTTAGATACTAAGTACAATTTCTGGCCAACATTTAGCTATAACTTGCTACCTCTCAATTTAAGCTAGGGGTTGAAAAAAATCATACCTGATTTAATATTTGTCTGGTAAACATATCTTCCAATATTGAGGCCAGCTTTGCTGCAAAAGCCAACGCATGATCAGCTAGAATGGGATTTCACAATTGCAGATGATAAACATCTGAGGGAAACACACGTGCTTTGTTTTGAAACTGACATGAGCAAATAAAAATGACATTAGTCTAGTACCCTTTTGCCCACAACTCTTTGGGTTTGGATATATTTCTTAAATTAAACAAATTGGGCTTTTTAGTGTTGCCAAATCATCATGATCCAAATGTCTAATTCTAGTGCCATATTCCTATGGCATTTGCAAGAGTGCTCAGCTCCTAATGTTTAGAATTATTTCTGTGAGCTCCATCTGATTGCACACACGTGTCTTTCAGTCTGACCATGCACTCCCCCTTATTTCTGGACCATATGCCTTGGGGTTGGCTGTGTGGATGTGAGGAGCCTCTTGTTGCCCGTTGCTTGTGCTGTGTCCAGTCTGATGCACCCCTGCCCTGCTCTGCTGACTTGGCTCTGAGGAGGCCAGCTCTGCCCCTGGTCTGCCTGTCCCCCTCTGCCCTGCCCCCCAATCCCATCTTTGCTGTCTCTGGTGAACCTGTAGAGCATTTCAATTGTCCGTCTGAGTGATGCTGGTTATGCAGATTGCATTTTCATTTCTGTATTGTTATCCTGGTTTATTCTACCTCTTACTAACCTCTGGTTATTGTTTTCGCTTTTTCTGTTCTTTTGCTAACAAAGTTGCGTTGACCAAAGCTGACCTGAAAGGTAGAGAAGGTTCTTGTTCCCATTACCACTTTGGACTGAAAGATGCCCTGTGTAACCCTTGGTATCTTTTCTTTAGAGATCTTCAAGCTGTCACACCTCTTGGACAGCAGCAATTGTGGGGAGGTGGCTGAACCCTGTGTTCTTCTGAAAGGGTGACAGATAACCTAGATCAATGCATGAAAAACAGCTATCAAGAGGAGACCTCATGGGGCTAAAACCATGATTCCATTTTGGGGGGTATCAAAGAGGTTTGACAGCATCCAATACTGTGACTACCCACAAACACATTAATTTACTTTGGAAATGATTAATACCTCTCCAAGTAGTTGCCATGGAGGGGTTGGCTCCTGTTAATTTATTCACCATAGATAGAAGGAAGAACTTGGCAGGAAAAAAAAGGCCAATTAAGCCCTTAATTTATTTTCTGGGTCAGGGAGGTCATTTCCTAGAGCAGGACATTTAAGTGCTTGGGCTTTATAAAAGAGAGTGTTATTTTCTCTTAACTAATTTTAAAGAAATATATCTAGGCACTTGGGAGACATTAATGCCATTAAAATGTTTGAGAAATTTATATTTTCTGTTGGGGATTTTGATTGAGCACTTTAATTTCCTGTTTTGTGATCTCAGGAAAAAGTACTCTTGGGGAAGAAGATGATCTGTCATTTTAATCCTGAATACCCTATAAAATACCTGCATGCAAGATGTTAGTGAATATCTATTGCAGAAACTGGTTCTTCTACTATTCAAAGAGGCATCTGACAAAGCCAGTAAGGGCCCACTGGCCCTACGGTGCCAGGCTGCTATGACTCAGAATAACAAAGGAGGAACAAGCATTTTAGGTGTATTTTGGTTGATTGTCAGGCAGGAGACTGAGCCTCATGACCTCTGTAGAGTTTTCAGTCAGCCCAAATTGTTAGAAGTGGTTAAGGCAAAGGTAACTTTCAAAAAAGTACTTTTCATCTAAAACGATCATTGATTTCGCTGTGACTTACTTCTTTTATGCCATGTAGCTAACAAGTACAAATGTCTTTCTCTCCAGAAGACATCCACCAATAAAGCCAATACTCTCTCACTATTTTACTATAACTTTGTTTTTCTTTATCACCTCTTAGCAGATTCACATATACTTTAAAATATATTAAAATTAAATAAAAGAATATACACTAATTAAAACTTGAAGTCAAAGGAAGCTTTACGATAACTTTCCATTTCAAAGCATATGGGGCCCTGGTGACAATACTGTTGTTTTTGGACATTATGTTGAATTGTCAAGAAAGATCTGCTATATGTTACTCTGTAAAGGGAAGGGAAAGAGCAGAGGGCAGGATTTGATCTGCAATACAAGACAACCCAGGGAGGGTGAAGCTCCTTCCGACCAGATTTAGCAGATTAAGCCAGACGACTACATCTCCTCCCTGCCTTTACTATTCCTCACGGTAAGAGCTACATAGATTTTAAAGCCCCAGAGCTTAGCATAGTCTCTCATTTAGACAATCCATACATGACAAAATAATCTGAACGTTCTCATCCAAAGGAATAACTGCTTGTAGGGAGAAGTGAGTGGTTGATTTCCATGCTGAAAGTAAATTGTTTACCAAAAAGTAGGTAAAGATTTATGGACCAGTAGTTTGAAACATCTTGATTTTTCCTTTAGTGGAGACAGCCTGGTCATCAGTATGGTTTTAACATTATTACTCCGTTGGCACAGACCTTCTTCCATTCTTGAAATGATTTGACAGCCTCTTCATTTGTGGCAGGAGCTGCTATTCTTTTTTATTATTTTGGGTCATCTTATTCTTTCCCTATTTTATAGGAAAAGTTTGAGTTTTTTTGTTTCCTAAGATTGAGATATGGACTCTTACTCACAAGCTGGCTTTTTCAGCTATAACCTGTGAGTACAGATAGTACTAATTACCATGAAGTATGAAGGGTAGTGAAGACAGATGACAAGGAAATGAGGTTGTCTGAAGCATAGACAGAAATGTGTTTGGAAGGAAATAGAACAATGAGGTCTAAGGAGTGACGAAAGAAGTCTAGGTGAGTCAACAGCTGAAGTCTTCTTGTTCTTGTGTGTAGTGTTTTGTTTCTTCTTTAAAATTTTTTTAACTTCCCCAGTGAGTGTGTTGTTCATCTCATCTGCAGTATCCTGGTATCCCTATACCCAGTCCCTGATACACAGGCATAAGTTCAGCTATGCCTGTGTATCTTCCTGTACTAGGTGATTCCCTGAAGTCCTATTCATGGAAGAAGGGAACTGCAGAACTATAAAAGAAATATTAAAATTGGCCTGTTGGTTGTGAGGCAGATGACATAAACGATGAGAAATAAGAGAATAAGTCTTTATTGTATTAGGTGATTAATTAGAATATTCCTATTCCATCTTTAATTATAGCTTCTCTTAGCAGGTTTTATTTCTGAAGTTTAATAGCTTTTTTTTTTCCCTAGAAATGTAAGGTGCCCGTCTGCCCAGATGGTGAACAGGTAGTTAGGGGATTCAGGATCCATTGGATCTGGGTGCTAAGGGCTGGCTATTTTGAGAAAGCCAATCAACGTATTGTGTTCAGATGCCTTGGAAATCTCAAGATTCTTTAAAGGCATTTTAGGACAGAGTTAGAATTAGCCAAACACCTTTAGTAGGTAAAGGAAATTTTAATTTCCCACTGTCTTTGCTATACTGAATATTGTCCTCAGCCTCATTTTCTCCCAAGCTAAAGATTGTATCATATTCTCCATTTTATTTTATGTTATAAAATGTAGTAGGTGAGGTAATATAAGTTCTTCAAAATGATTTTTTTATGGAAAATAATAAGAGAGACAAATAACAGAGGAAAAGTGTCTTCTGATACTAGTGTTGTGAGCTTTAGGAAAAAATTATACTTCAACGACCTGCAAATAATCAAGGGCACTCTGTCACCTTTTTATTTTCTAGGACATGAAGAGGAATTGACTAAATCAGTGTATATTTGCTGCAAAGATGGATTTGAGCGGTAGCAGGCATAAAATGATTGTATAGGACAATTCTTAATGAAAAGAACAATTCTTAACATTCAAGAAAAATGATAGGAAATTTGTGGCAGCCGTCACAGTTATCTGAGAAATAAGAGAATGAGATGAAATTCCATGTTTTTAAGCGAACTAAAAACAGAGATAGAAATGAGAAACCAAAGTACTAATGCCATTGACATCTTATTTAGTATTTCCAGACACTTTTCTGTTGTCTTGTCACTTTCTATAGTATACAAAGAAAGTGATGATCTTTTATCAAAAGGATATGTCACTGTTTTAGTGAGAGTTAATCACATATCAAGAGCAAAAGTAATTTACACTATTCTTATACAGGAGCATCCTAAAGCCTTTGGATGTTTTAAGATATTAATAATTAATAATGATAATCATAAAGACTTCGTAAATATGTAATTATAAACATTTGTGCTATCTTAGAATGTCTGGAATTATATGTTGATTTGGAAGAGTGTTTTAGGAAAAAATCTGATTATTAAGTCCCCAGGATTGTCTCTTATGCTTATAAACATATATATTTGATACAGATTTCTGTTCATAAAATTGTACAAAAGTGTATCTTCCTGTTTATTTTTAATCGAATTGAAATGGTATTTGAAAATTTCCTTGTAAAAAACAAAAATGTTAACAAATTTTTACATCAAGATCTCATCTTTTCCCAGTTGTAGGTCAGAAATACCTTAAGTTATTCTTATTAGACCAATGATGCTACACATTCACATTCCCCACTCTGGCTTACGCACATCCCTAAGAGGTTAGGTGAGTGGGCTGAATAATTAGCAAGCTTGGATTTGAAACCTCACCCTCTCACTTCCACCTACGGAATTTGGGGAAAATTACCTAAGTTTTCTGTGCCTCAGTTTACTTTTCTGAAATCTTTGCATTTTGATTCAATCGGCAGTTTAAAAATTATTTAAATTTGAAATTATGGATATCTCCTATGAGAAAATAATTTGTTTCTCTGATTCTTTAATCCTTTTAATTATATTTGCTTCATCATGTGCTTATGAAGATAAATTAATATCTTAAAAGATTTAGTATAGCATCTGGCTCATAAGTGTTATGTAAGCTGTATTCATTGTTATAGCCTCTTTTTGATTTGTAGAAGCTTATTTTATATCAATAGATGTTCAGTGGGAAGCAATGTTGAAGCTTTTGGTTTTTTTTCTCCAAGACATGTTGTTTCTAATTTTTTTTTGACACACTGTTATGTGAAATGCATACATTAAATACATTGACATAAAATAGCCTCTGTTTAGGAAAGGATATACTTAAATAGGTTGAAGTAAGAATAAGAGCTTATAAAATGATCATCCAGAAATTGCTGTAGAGTCTAACCCAGACTCTCATTCATTCAACAGTTATTACATACGGTACCTGGGCTTGGGAATACTAAGGAGTTCTTGTCAATATCTGGTGAGATTGAATGTGACTAATAGTTAAATCAGAGGACACATGGCCAATTAAATCCCACCACCCCACTCACCCTAAGAAAATAATATAAATTTTATTACAAAAACTGTGTTTTAAAGTTTCAAGTAAGAGATTACTTATGTGAGCTCTTATTTGTAAATTATAGGGATAAATTGTTATAAGAAACATTTTGCTTTACATTTTAAATGAATGGCTTAATTTCTTTCTTTCTTTTTTTGTTATTTAATTCTTTTATTCAATAATGTTTTGAATATTTTGAATAGAGCCCTCACACTATACCAAATACAGCATCAGGAATTAGAGATACAAAGGCAACTAAGACAGACCTAGGCTTCTGCCCTTAAGAGGCTTACAGTCCTCCAGTAACATTTGTAAGACAGTGAAGAACTTAATAGTATCGACAAAAACCAGACACACTGACCATCAGAACAGCATAGAGACCCCCAAAATAGACCTAGGCATTATTGTTAATTGATTTTTTAACAAGGGTGCCATAAGTGTATAATGGAGAAAGGATGATCTCTTCAACAAATGGTGTTGGACAAAATGGATATTTACATACAGAAAAATAAAAGTGGACCCTTTTTTAATACCATATACAAAAGTCAACTCAAAATATATTACACATTTAAATGTTAGACCTGAAATTATAGAACTACTAGAAGAAAACATAGAGGAAGTACTCTATGACGTTGTTTCTGGGCAAAGATTTCTTGGATATGACTTCAAAAGCACAGGCAACATAAACAAATGAGATTGCATAGAACTAAAAACCTTCTGCACATAAAACAATTGAGTGAAGAAATAACCCATAGTTTGGGAGAAAATATTTGTGAAGTATACATCTGATAAGGGGCTATTATCTAAAATATATAAGAAACAATTCAATAGTAGGAAAAAACAAATACCCAAATCAAAAAATGAAAAACAAATACCCTAATCAAAAAATGAGCAAAGAATCTAACTAGACACTTCTTAAAGAAGCCGTGCAAGTGGCCAACAGATATGTGAAAAAATACTCAACATCACTAATCACTGGGAAAATGCAAATTAAAACTACAATGAGATATTACCTCACACCTATTAGAATAGCTATTATCAAAAAGACAAAAAAAAGTATTGGCAAAGGCATGGAGAAAAGGGAACACTTGTGTGTTGGTGGTGGGAATGTAAATTAATATAACTATTATGGAAAGCAGAATAGAAGTTCCTCAGAAGACTAAAAATAGAATTAATTACTATATGATCCAGCAATCCCGCTTCTGGGTTTCAATCCAAAAGAATTGAAAGCAGCACACAAAAGAGGCATCAGCACTCCCATGCTCATTGTAGCATTATTCACAATAGCTCAGAATTAAGGAACCTGGGTGTTCATCACCAGATGAGTGGATAAAGAAAGCATGGTATATGTGCATGGTGCAATACCTTTGCTCATTTTTTGATTGGGGTGTTTTTTTTTCTTTCTGTTGAGTTGTTTGAGTTTCTTATGTATGCTAGATATTAGCCCCAAAATATTCAGCCTTATTTGCAACAACATGGATGAACCTGGAGGACATTATGCTAAATGAAATAAGCCAGGTACAGAAAGACAAATACCACATAATCTCACTCATATGTGAAATCTAAGAAATTTGAACTCATAGAAGTAGAAAATAGAATAGTGGTGATCAGGGGCTGGAGGAGGGGATGGATGGAAAAATAAGAGATGTTGATCAATGGATTAAAAGTTTCCATTAGACAAGAGGAATAGGCTTTGGTAATCTATTGCATAGAATGGTGACTACAACAAACAATCATGTACTTTACTGGGTGACAGAGTGAGACTGTCTCAAAAAAAATGTATTTTAAATTTCAACATTGTTAGAAGAATAGATGTTAAATGTTTTCACCACAAAATGTGCTAAGTATGTGAGATGATTGATTTGTTAATTAGCCTGATTTAACCATTCTTTGTTGTGAACATATATTAAAACATAACATTGCATCCAATAAATATAAACAATTATCGTTCAATTTAAAAAGAACTTAATTTAATTACAAGTCTCATAATAGTTATGAGTTAAATAGGAAGACATGATGAAGAGCAAATATAAAGCTGATGGGGACTTCCTTAAGCAGGATAGCTTGAAGAAAGCTCATTTGGAGCTCAAACTCAGAGAATAAAAATGAATCTGGAGAAAACACAATTAAGGCCATCGGTCCAGCCAGAAGAACAAGGAAACTTGAAGATGTGCTTGAAGTGTTAGGGCAGTGGTTCAGGAATATAAGCAGGCATCCGACCCACCTGGAGGGCTTGTTACAACTCAAATTCCTCAATTCTGCCCCCCCCTAGGAGGCCTGGTTGGGGTCTTAAAATGCACTTTTCTCAGAAGTTTCCAGGAGATGCAGATGCTGCTAGTTTGGGAGCAACACTGAGAATCATTGTGTTAGAGTGGAACCAAAAGCAGGGGAAGAGGGCTGTAGCACTGTGAGCTAGGGACATGTGATAAGAAATGAGGCTGGGGGAGGGGGCAGGGGCTCTTAGGAGCTCAGTCTTGAAAGGAGGTTCAAGGTTAGTTCCAGATTGATGAGAAGTTGAAAGTTCTATTAAGTCCTTACTGACAATATTATTGTTCTTGGATGTTACAATGTAGCCAGTCTTCCAGTACTATTGCATTCTATGTGGCATTTGCCCCTTAATGCAAGTGAAGGAAATTCAGTGAAATTGATAAATAACCTATAACCCTCTCCCCCTGTACTTGATCCCTGATGAACTTTTGACAAACGGAAAATATTGCTCACTTTGCAGAGTGCAGAAGTGTTCTTCCATTTAGGTTCTGGAAGTATGAGACGTAGCAAATCACAGGCGGTCACAATTCAAATCACCCCAACATTACGGAAACACTGTTTCTGCATCTGCACAATAGACTTAGTGCCACAAGGACCTAACCAGAGAATATTACTTGATTTCTAACAGCAAGCAGCTTTCAAATTTTTGATGATAAAATAGTAGAAATGTAAAGCAACTAGAGGATTATATAAAAAGAAGACAGTGCAATGTATAATAAAATGCTAAATTGAATATTATATGCAAAAATTAAGGATGCAGATAATAATTGCTCTAGACACAAGGAAGCCAGAGAATTATTGTTTTAAGTTATTGACTAATGTTTCATTTGAAGAAGGCATTGAGGCTGGTCCTTAGAAAATGGTTAAAATTTGGCAGCTAGAGGGAAGGCGAAAGACATGGAAAAGCCTTTGTCTTTAGATTCATCAGTATTCAAAGAATTATTGTGTTTTCCCAGAGTTTTTGCTGTTTTGCTGCCTTTTACAGTAAAACCTTCCATGTGTTTCTGATTCTTGAGTACAATTGAATTACTAGCCAATTGTCTGGTGAGAGCTGTTGGCCAGGGAGCCCCTGTGGACTTCTTAGAAGCTTTTGTCCTTTGAAAGAAGCTGTCCTGATTTACCATTGTTAATAAAACTTGTCTAACACAATGCTCAAGTTTAAGACCCACTGAGAACATGACCACATACCTCCTTTTATCTCTACATGGGGGAACCACATGGCCAATAGAAGCGGCAGAAACCCAGCAGCAGTACTGTAACCCAGTGTTAGTAATTGTTTTGAACTTCCTTATGTCATGTCCTAATAGCGTTGTCTTATGAGTGATGGCCTGTCCTGCTTCCAGCCTTCATGAATAAATACAAAATGTCTTGCCACCCAGAAGACGAAGGCTTTGTAGTCGTGCATCTCTTTTGAACATGCATCTTTAGGACCCCGTGTTCTTTCATTTCAATATTCTTGCTTTTGTGAGGCTTAGGTTAGAAACTGCGAAATATGCTGTTATTGCAATGGTTCTACGTTTTACTCTGTCAAGTGCTTTTATGCATTAGCTCCTGACTAATACATTTGGTGAGTCAAAGGGCTCATCCCTTTGCTGAGATTCTCTGGGAAATTCATGGAGTTATCCTGAATATTAAGATATTTCCTCTTAGTTCAGATAATCTCGAAGGTATGGATTTATCTTTAATCCCAAAGTTAAGGCAGAAAATATCAGTAAAACGGAGAGAATGGTTGAAAAAAGTGCCAGGCTGACCTAAAGGGAGAACTTAATGGCAGTCTGTTAAAGAGAGGTCATCAAAAAATTTTTTAATTCCCCCTCATATCAGTAAAAGATTTTGAGAATACCTTCAAAATAGGTAGACTTATGTTATAGACATGACTATTATTCTTATATATTATTAGCATATGAGAGACACACAGACATAGAAATAATTTCAAATTAATTAAAAGAAACACAACTTCTAATATTTTCTTTCTGTAGCACAAATGACTCTCTTTTGTATGCTCCCGTGCATGCACACTTCATTTAAGAGAATCCATTTTTAGGCTACCCAGAGCAGCAGTGTGCTGCAGTGTAATGGCTCTCAAACTTCAGACTGCATTAGAACGTCCTGTAAAACAGGTTTTTGCCTCTCCCCAAAAGTTTCTAATTCAGTGGGTCTGGGGTGAGCTCCAAGCACTTGCATTTCTGACACATTTGCCGGTGGTGGTGGTCTGAGAAGTACACATTGAGAACCACTGGGATACTCAAGAGCATGGGTCTTAGAGTTGTTTTACCTAAGTTGGACATCAACATCCTTCAATTACCAAATGTGTGACCTTGAGTAACTTATTGTGCCTTTTTGAGCTCAGTTTCTTAAAATCTGTAAAGTGGAGGTAATCGTAATTACTTACTGCTTAGAGTACCTGGAGAACTCAGTGAGGTACTGTAAACACATTGCTTAGTACCCAGTACTGTCTCCCACAAAACATCAATCCATGCTGGCTGTTGAATCCTCCTTCTTCTCTTCCTTCTCTTCATCATTATCAATGTCATTAAACATCTTTTATGTCACAAAGTAGACATAGGGACTTTTGGTTTCAGGATTAAAAAAACATTGTACCTTAATTTATAAGCATCATGGGAATGATTTTTGTTTTGCATTAGCATTCTGCATTAAAAAGACTATAACCCAAATGAGATATCTTTCTAGTTGAATGGTAAAGATGAAGCTATTTTGCAAAGTCAGCCCAAAGGAGAACAGTGTGTTCAGCCCTCTCCCTTCTGTGTGTAACTGTTGATAGTTTGTGGCTAAGTGTGTATTTCTGTCATCTTTTGTATATACTGACTTTTTGTTGCATGAGATTGAGTTGACAATTTTGGTGATGTGTCTTTGAATGTTTAGGGGCATGAGAATGGTAAATTCAGGTGATTTCTTTGACTACTTTTTAATATTTCTTTTCTCTCTCCTTTTTCTTTTTTCCCCCTCTTCTTCTGCATTGCTAGGACCCAGTACCACCTGCCAGGAAGATTCATGTGCCAACCAGGGGGTCTGCATGCAACAATGGGAGGGCTTCACCTGTGATTGTTCTATGACCTCTTATTCTGGAAACCAGTGCAATGATCGTAAGTACAATAACCTTTCATACGGAAACTGTGTCAAGATGTTTGGAGATTTGGAGACTCTTAAGGGACAATATATAAAAGGATGGCTCTTCTGAAAGATGCATAAGTAATTCTCTCCTCCAGGAACTTGGAAAATAAATGACTAGTGCTCTTACGAGAAGAGCGAAGAGATGTGTCTTGCTTAACAACACTAAATATTCTCCCACATGCTTACTTCCCATGTTTTTTATTTAGATTAGAATAGTGACTGAGAAACAATAACAACAGCAGCAAAACCAATTCAGGCAAATATTTTTGTGGTAACGGGTTCAGTTCTTCATGAATTAAATCACCTTATCTTATTGAATTTGACTTCAAAATGGTTAATTTTGAGACTCTCTTGTGTTGCATTGCCTGGAATTTTGAGGATATTTAAAGGGGATAGCTGTTTTCTCAAAAAGTTTGAGTTCTCTGAATTTGTTAGGCCTTGCAAATGACAAAGACATTCAAGAGTTTATTTTTTTTACAATTAGCAAAGCTTAAACATTCTTGGGTGTATTTCAGGTATAGGGCAGAAATTCTCTCTTACTAAATGTATTGATCTCTGGTTGGTTTATATACACATAGCTATTCTGTATGTATTGTGTGCATATATATATATATATGTGTGTGTGTGTGTGTGTGTGTATGTGTGTATGTATGTGTGTCCTATTTCGTGAGTATATCTTATATGTATATATTGTATTTTCGGTTTTCGAGAGTCTTGTGATTGTTAATTGTGTCCACCCATGATGCTTCTGGCTCATGGGTTTAGTTCTAATATAGGACTGACTTCATGAAGATGATTCTAGCACTGATGGTGGAGACATTTCAATGCTGTGGTCATCTATAACCTGTGTCTCCACTTTGTTCTCATGTTATTTTCTTGATGCGGCCAAAGCAAAAATGAGCATGCACTTGAAATTTCTGAACACCTGTGGCAAAGAGATTTGTTGAACATCCCTGACTTAATGTGTCCTGCTAACCTTTCTAAATGCAGCCTTTGTTTTATAATCTAGACTCTTTTGACATCTTGGTTTTGGAAAAATGATGCATGACATTATCTGAGAAAATAGTAAAATCACGTTATGATGCAACCACGTGGAAGCAGATGCCAGTTACAGTACTCCGCCCCCCCACCCCCAGGTCTATGTGGTTTTTCTTGCTTCCTTATTTCTCAACTTTTTATATGTGTACAGTTGTCTGTTGTTCTTTTTCCCATTTTTCTCAGTCATTTTGGCTCCATATGCTCTTTCATTCTCTTAAGTACACTGAGGAGAAACAAGTGGAGAAGTTGGCAATATAGAGAGAAAGTTATGTAATACCCATTCATCTAATTACATAAGCACATGCCTCTGTCTCTGTCATGTGAATACGATGTCTGCAGAACGTTTGGGCCTAAGATTGCTCTTACCAAGTCTTTTGGTATTACTGAAAGTCATGTTTCCATATTTATGATTTGGAAATACTGTTTTACTCTGAAACAGGTAGTTATAAACCTAGCCAGAGAACCTGAGAAATTATGCTACATGCTATTTCTTTTTCCTCCAATTTGTCTGTATAGCACTCGCTAGAAAGGCTTTTTTCTCTAAATGGTGGCATAATGCTTCTTTATCCTCACAAGTTTATTTATTGTCACACATACATCCCACTCTGGGTAGAAAATGGTCAGGATGAGACTCTCTACACAGAAAAGGTATAAAGGTAAGTTTTCCCAACTGTGGTGAATATGCACGATCTTCGGAAGGTATGTATGTCTTTTTCTATCTTTGACAAGTTCCTGTCTGTCAGCCAGTGCCACGCATTATTTTCTGGCAAAAATAAGGATGGATTGTTTCTAGCTTTCTGTGGTTTTATCAAGAGCAGATTGTGTCTCAGTCTGAGATGGGGAGTATCACATTGTATGACTTGGGCAATTTGTTGGGATATAATGAAGCACTGGGACTTAAATTGGGAAAATTACAGCTTTCCTTTGTGGCAAGAGCTTCTTGTAGTTCAAAAATATTTCTAATAAATCTCGATTGAAGGCAATACATTTTTTTGTTGTTGTTGAGATGGGGTCTCTGTCACCAGGCTGGAGTGCCGTGGTGCAGTCTCGGCTCACAGCAACCTCTGACTCCCTGGTTCAAGTGAGTCTCCTGCTTCAGCCTCCTGAGTAGCTGGGATTACAGGCGTGCACCACTACGTCCAATTAATTTTTTTATTTTTATTTTTAAGTAGAGATGGGGTTTCACCATGTTGGCCAGGATGGTCTTGATCTCCTAACCTCATGATCCACCAGCCTCAGCCTCCCAAAGTGCTGGGATTACAGGTGTAAGCCACTGTGCCTGGCCATACATTTCGAATTTTATTCTGTAACAATGCAGTTTTACCTCTTTGTTGCAGTGAACTTGGGAACCTGAGTTTCTAACAGAAGCTACTTGCCTAGTCCCCCACCTGGAGATTAAACAAAGGCTTCCGTGATTGGATAGACATATAGAAATGATGAAGTATACATCTTAATTATGGAATGTGATAAATATAGAGAGTTAAGACATATAGGATGTGACTGTAAAGTTTGATGATAAACTTTTTTTTTTTTTTTTTGATGATAAACTTTTAATGAAACCCAACCAAATATGGCAGAATGGTAGGTTACTTAGAATTATTATGTTGGTGTTTCTGTTTCCAGTAATTGGTATTCAAGGTATTTGGAAGACCTTCTCCTTTGGAACTAGAATCAAAGCCAGTATGTTCTACCTAGAAAAATCAGTCTCAAAAATCACAGAGTGTTATTTTCTATATCAGCCTTGACCTTTAGAGTTATGATTGGCTATTTCTTTAACAAACATCTTCAAAATGAAGTTACCTATATGATATTCTGTGTGCTTACCTTTGTTGATAAATTTTTGGGGGTGTAGCCTGTATCAGGAGTCAAGTGTTAATCTTCATTGTCACCAGCAGACTTGAATAGGTTCATGCTTATCATCAGCAAAAGCGGTGGGGGAAATTACAAAGAAAGAAGAGAGAAGTTCATAGAGGAAGAAGAATGATAATGAGAAGGAATATAGAGGAAATCAGAGAGTGGGTCTTACATGGAAGAGCACTGAGGTCATTAGCAATTGCTTTGGTAACATGCCTACTACAAGTGGCCTGCCTTTGACCTAAATAACAGAAATGGGTCACGGCATTAAAAGTGGAATGCCATCAAGGAAACCTGGCCTTTACCTAATTAATTCCTGCAAAGAGAATGTTCTATAGAATGTTGCATATAGCTCAAATAAATTGTATCCATTTAAATGCTATCATAGGACATGCAGATAGGTTAGAGATGAAATTTAATTGCAAAAAGCATTTTGTAGGGGAAAAGAAAGGTTATGGATATCTCATTTTCCAGGAGCTGTTTCTCAGGGCAACAGATTGATCCTCAATTAAAGAACGTGAAAACACCTCAGTTTATTATTGCGTATCCAAAGACTGAAATTTATTCAACAGGGAAATAGCTAGGTCTTACATTTTCCAAAATAAGTTACTTAATTCATCATGTGTAACATAGTTAATTATATCTAGGCATGACTCGTAAGGCTTTAAAAATGTCTGCATTTTAGGGTATTCCTTTTTTTAGCATTGATTCTTTTGCTTATGACCTTTGTGTTTTTCTTGCCTATTCACTAAATGTGTTTGCCTGACAATTTTAATGTGTTGTTACCTAGAATGTTGCCTCCATAAGTAGAGCATACACTTTAAAACTTAGTCTCAGTTACTGGGAGTAGACCAAGCCTGGATTTTTCACTTTATTTATTTATTCTTTGTGAGAGTCTGGTGGGTTGATGGAGGCAGTGGGGTGAATTTCAGTTTCAATCTTATAGCTATGCAAAGCCAATATTCTTTAGAGCTGATTGTCTTGTATAAGAGTGACTCATTGTATGGGGATAGGAAACAAAAATCCTCTGATTGGAAACCAAGGGTAATTGATTTGCTAATTGTCTTACATAGTTTTAGATATGACCTTCCACAATTTTATGTAATGGTAAAGTCATGGGGATTTTCTTGTACATTGACTTTTAGGGCTGTTTTGATTCTGCAATCTAATCATCCCAGAAAAAATTTTGAGTTAATGTAGAAATCAGTATGATCTATGGGAGAACACATAAGTAACATCCTCCAAGATAATCTTCAATTCTTATGAAACATTTATAATTGAAGGAGTTGGCTTTTCAGAGGGTGAGTGCCACCTGAAAATCGACTTAATGAAAGCTGTCTTGGGCTACATTTTAGGAACAGCAAAATAAATGGAACCTTATAAATGTCCGTGTAGGGATATTCTTTTTTGAAATTGGGTTCTTATTAGTATTTTAAATCAGGACTGAGAGCCTGGGAAATTCTAGCATGTTGTAGCCATTGCAGCACCCAGGCAAATCCAGAATCTCCTTCCCATCTTGAGTGGTCATTCCACTGTCATTGTCAGCCTGCTGTTGAGTGCTTCTCTCTTTCACAACATCAAAAAATGTTGTGTAGAATAGAACCCTCCTGCATGCACTCACATGTGTACAGAAGGGTTGTCATTTTTATGGACTTTGTGAAAATCGTCTCAAACCTAACCTTAACAACATTGTTGCCTTTTACCATGTACATGACAATTGAATGGTATATAATTTGGGGGTCTGGTTATTGCTTCTTGTGCCCTGGCGAAGCGCATATAGGACTGTCTTTGGCACATGAGTCCTTAACACACATCAAGTTCCTGAGTTTAGGAAGTGGGTGCTCATCATGGCTTTGCGGGGTGAAGCAAAGGGAATAGACATGAGTCCTCAGCCCACCCTTAGGAGCCAGCAACCTTGTGCTACACTGCTAGTCACACATTGTGGACTGCCTGTTGGAGAAATTGCTAGGTTCACACTGGCATGTGATAATAGATGTTCTTTGCTTGCAACAAATCAATAGCAAGCAGCTGTGGATCGTGCAGATAGTGGAGTTTAAAGCGCCTTTTTCAGACAGTTTTCTGCAGGAGTGGCTGTTAAGCTGCAGTGTTGGCTATTGATTGGCCTTTTGCTTTTTATTTGTTGTGTGGGTTTATTTATGTTTTTAATGTAGGTTAGTGTATTGATTAAAT